CTAAACTTTTCCTAATTCATTCTAAAGCTGAAAGGAAGGATAAGACAATAAACCCATGGGAGCTGCCATGCTGTTTGTTTTCTAAGCCAGGGCTTTTCAACCTTTTCACCAATTGTACCACTTTTAGAATATGGCAACATTCGAGTACCACCAGTCACCCAGCAAGGTGTCAAAAGCTTGATGACAAAAAAAAAAATGGAAAAAAGTGATAAAGTACAGGTAGTCCTCAACTTACAACAGTTTGCTTAGTGACTGTTCAAAGTTACAACGGCACTGGAAAACGTGACTTATGACAATTTTTCACACTTATGACCACTGCAGCATCCCCAGGATAATGTAATTTACATTTGGATGCTTGGCAACCGATTCTTATTTATGATGGTCACATTGTTCCAGGGTCATGTGATCACCTTTTGCAACCTTGTGACAAGCAAAGTTAGTGGGGAAACCAGATTCACTGAACAGCCATGTTACTAATTTAATCTCTCTCCTTCTTTCTTTCTCTCCCTCTCTTTCTTTCTCTCTCCCTTTCTCTTTCCCTCTCTCTTTCTCCCTCCCTCTCTCTTTCTCTCTCCCTTTCTCTCCGTCTCCCTTTCTTTTTCTCTCTCCCTGTCTCCCTTTCTCTCTCCCTCTCCCTCCTTCTCTCTCTCTCTCTCCCTGTCTCCCTCTTTCTCCCTTTCTCCCTCTCCTCTTTCTCTCTCTCCCTCTCTCTATTTCTCTTTCCCTCTTTCTCTCCCTCTATTTCTCTCTCCCTCTCAAAGATTCTTAAAGGTTATGCTTGGGCGGAAGACTTTTTCTTTTACAGATGGGGCGGGTGGGCCTGACATTCGCGCGCAGGCAGGACCCCGCCCGCCGAGCCACCGCTTCCCCATCGCCCTCCATGCCAGCCGGCTCCGTCTCTGTCTCCAGACCTCCCAGCTGACGGGCGCAGGTCCGGGGGTCGCCAGCTGACAGGCGCAGGAGGTAGGCGCCGCCGCGGCCTCCCAGCTGCTTGTTTCTTCGGCTGGAGCAATTGCAAGGGCTTGCATGGTCGCCGGCGGCCGGGAGCGCGTCAGCGGCCCTTGGGGACCATGCAAGCCCTTGCAATTGCTCCAGCCGAAGAAGCAAGCGGCTGGGAGGCCGCAGTGGCGCCTACCTCCTGTGCCCGTCAGCTGGCGACCCCCGGACCTGCGCCCGTCAGCTGGAACGTCAGGCAACACTTTGGCCGGTGCGGAGGGCGAAGGGGAGGCTGCTGCAGCGCCTACCTCCTGCGCCCGTCAGCTGGCGACCCCCGGACCTGCGCCCATCAGCTGGGAGGTCTGGAGACGGAGCCGGCTGGCGTGGAGGGCGATGGGGAAGCGGTGGCTCGGCGGGCGGGGTCCTGCCTGCGCGCGAATGTCAGGCCCACCCGCCCCATCTGTAAAAGAAAAAGTCTTCTGCCCAAGCATAACGCCAGCAGTTCTGTGCCACAGAGGCTTGAGACACAGAGGCGCGGGACGCGGAGCGGCGCAGTGCGGTGGGAGGCGGCAGGACAGCGGGAGGGGTTACCTGCATCCTGCCAGCCGAACTCTGGAAGCCTGCCTGAATACCCGTATTTTCCGGCGTATAAGACGACTGGGCGTATAAGACGACCCCCGACTTTTGAGAAGATTTTCAGGGTTTAGAAAGTCGTCTTATATGCCGGAAAATACGGTACTTCCTTTACACTTGCATATAATAACTCAGCTTGAATTAATTTTAGATATGTAGCATTTTCATCTTATGCTTATTGGTTTTTACACATTTTTAATTTGTAGAAGTAAGGGGGAAAGGGGGAGGAAAGGGGGGAAAACTGAATTCATGATCCCAGCATAAGTAATTCAGTCCTCAGATGTAACAGTGTTGTGTACTTTATTAAAGAGCTATTGCTACAAAAATGAATTGAGTGCACTATTAGGGGCAGAGGATTTGGGGCTCAATTATGGTCATAAGTTGAGGACTACCTTACTATTCCAACTTGTTTTGAATAAACATTCTCACATGTTTCCAGTAAATAAATATTTGCTCTGTCCATACATTTTAATTTACCTTTGGTCTTGATGAAATACATGTGTACTTTCAAGATAAAATACCCTGTTAGGTTGAAATTATAAGGATATATGTGAGAACATGTGTTTCTCCATTGTAACTCAGAGGTAGAATCTTGGCAAATTGTTTTAACCATCTTAACAGCTGCCTTATGTTTTCCCATATGTTAGGGACATGGAGTAAGGCTAGGAAGGATTTGATCTTTCATATTCATCTTGTCCATTTTTTTACCCTTTTCATCACTAGAGTTTCCAAGGTCTGAAAAAAACAAGCCAGTTGAGTGCAGGACTGAAATCATAGATTTTCTAATTTTAAAGAAAACTCTGTTGTCCAGAGGCACATATGGCAGAAGGGTTTTATTTGCAAAACAACAAATAGCTACTGTATCAAATGAACTCACATACAGCGAGGGGAAAAATTATTTGATCCCCTGCTGATTTTGTATGTTTGCCCACTGACAAAGAAATAATCAGTCTATAATTTTAATGGTAGGTTTATTTTAACAGAGAGAGAATAACAACAAAAAAATCCAGAAAAACGCATTTCAAAAAAGTTTTAAATTGATTTGCATTTTAATGAGTGAAATAAGTATTTAATCTCCTATCAGTCATCAAGATTTCTGGTTCCCAGGTGTCTTTTATACAGGTAACGACCTGAGATTAGGAGCACTCTCTTAAAGGGAGTGCTCCTAATCTCACCCTGCATAAAAGATACCTGTCCAAAAAAGCAATCAATCAGATTCCAAACTCTCCACCATGGGCAAGACCAAAGAGCTGTCCAAGAATGTCAGGGACAAGATTGCAGACTTACACAAGGCTGGAATGGGCTACAAGACTATCGCCAAGCAGATTGGTGAGAAAGTGACAACGGTGCTATTATTTGCAAATGAAAGAAACACAAAATAACTGTTAATCTCCCTCGGTCTGGGGTTTCATGCAAGATCTCACCCCATGGAGTTTCAATGATCATGAGAATGGTGAGCAATCAGCCCAGAACTACACAGGAGGAACTTGTCAGTGATCTCAAGGCAGCTGGGACCACAGTCACCAAGAAAACAATTGATAACACACTATGCCGTGAAGGACTGAAATCCAGTGCCCGCAATGTCCCCCTTCTCAAGAAAGCATATGTACAGGCCCGTCTGAAGTTTGCCAATGAACATCTGAATGATTCAGAGGAGAACTGGGTGAAAGTGTTGTGGTCAGATGAAATTAAAATTGAGCTCTTTGGCATCAATTCAACTCACCGTATTTGGAGGAGGAAGAATGCTGCCTATGACCCCAAGAATACCATCCCCACCGTCAAACATGGAGGTGGAAACGTGCTTTGGGGCAGTGGTGAGATTCAAATAATT